GGAATGCCCTTGTAGAATGTAGTTCTGGTTTCCATGGATACTCCTCTGAAATCATATATATTCTTAATACCTCCTAAAAATAAGTGTAGAGACTTTAAAAAAAGGCTTTTGATCTGTGGAGTAGTTTGCAGTCTTAATTTTGCTTTCAGAAGCAATAGCTTGATGTTGCAGAGGTAAAATCAAATGTCCTGTCAGTGTGCATATGGTACAGTGGCATAGAAGATCTTGGCCTTTTGGACCTACTTTAGCTAACCGATATTACAGAATGAAATTAAATCTTGAGGAAGAGTCAAAAATAAAATCAAGTTCTCTCACTTCTGTGAAAGTTATAAGTCTTTAAAAGCTATCCCTTTGTGGAGGGACGTCATTTGGTGAGAGTTTGTGTTGATACAAAAATTCTTGGTAGATGTTTCTCTGGCTTGGGCTGAGAAGATGATATAATTATGACAGTTTCTTCTAGCCTGATGAAAAAAAGGGCTTTTCAACTTCAGCTGCAGTTTAAAGACCTCTTAGTAGTGGCATTTTTATAGGGTTTAGAAGCTGTACACTCAAACCTGACCTTGTATTTCAGCTGAAATGGCTTGCCTTTGTTAACAAGGTATAAATTATGTGTTTTGGTCAGCATTGCCAGCCATTTGCATATTAGGAAACTGACTCCCGCTTGGGTAGTCCTGAATGCCTCATAGCAGCTGTGTTATGGTGTGCTCCTGGTCAACTGAAGTGGTAAATGTTACACATTAAAATGTAAACCTACTTATTGAAGTGTAGTTTAGCATAGACAAACTTGTTACAGAGTTCTGTTACACCACTGCTAAAGATTATAGGACAGATTTGCCTGTTGCTGTGTATTACTATGAAGTTTATTTGATTTTGGGGAGAGAATAAAAAAGGAAGTGCTAAAGCAGCTGAGACAGCAGCTTCTTGGTAGAAATTCATTACAAGGAACTGTTACAGATTGTAGTACGTCTATTCTGCTTTGAAAAATATGTAGTTCAATACAGAATTAAATTTGAGTAAAGTAAACTTTTGTCACATACTGTCTATTCAGTAGTTTATTTCTAGGTAGATATTTTATCTAAAATGCAGTTGTACTTCCTGTATTTTTTGTCTTCTAAAAGCAAATAAAATCTTAGCCTCTACTAGAGAGGAACTGTGACTGGCACCAAAGACCATTTGACGGCTGTGTGTAAATACAACTGGTCTAGTTACACACTAGGTTGCAGATGGTAGTTTTGCTTGATTGCAACTTGAAGGATCTGTTTTTTAAGAAGTAGCATCTTCAGTATTTTGTTTAGCAAATAACCAGACACAATTGTAAAGTGAACATGAGTGCCAGGGAAAGGAGTCTGCTGACATCTCTCTCAAATTTGAAACAACGCTCTTGAGTATTTAAATGCCTAAGGGTTTGTCACCACAGATAAAGAAAGTACATTTTCATGGAACCTGAAATACACTTCGAATGCATTTTGTTTGTACTATAGTTGAATTGGCCTGGTTCTTTCTCATGTGAAAATGCTTTGAAAGCTCTATGTACAGAGGCATTGCAATTGATCTAGAAAAATTTTTAGCATCCAGTTTTAATTCCAGAGTTAGCTGACCTTTTGTTTGCAGCAGAAAAAAGATCTTGACCAGTGCTAAAACACCAGAGAAGTTTATTGTTCTAATTCAGATTCCAGACTGGTTGTCATGAGGCTTTTAAAAAGTCTGCAGTAGTTCAAGCAAACTGAAAGTGCTACCTGAAATAATATAGCAGAGTTTTGCAATGTTAAATTTTAAGTTGTGTAAGGGTCTTCACTTATGTTAAGAAAGGTAAGAATCAAAGACATTCCATGTTCAGAAACTTGTGGTACCAGTTGTTTATTTGCTTTCTTTGTGACTGACCTTGCATAGGATGCTAAAATTTACTGCAGCTTTCAGACTAAGCTTTCTTGATAAGCCGTGAAATTGATGGTTGTCTTTTAAAATGTTACTTACTGCAGTATTTTTAAACTTCTCAAATGCTCATTGTAAACATGCTGAATAGTATAATTAAATATTTCAGAAAACTGACTTGTTTCATCTCAAGGTACTATGAGTGGTGAGGGAGGAAAAAAATCTCAAGACTTAGGCAAACCATATCTTTTGTCTGAGTTGCTGTTTAAGTATTGCTGAATTTGTTGCTAATGCTTATTTTCTTTAGGAGAACTGCTCTGGTAATTACAAGAAAACTATTTTACGTTATAGAATGATATCTTCTAAGAATTGCATCCTCACTTGTGTTATCTTTCAAAGGCTTGCTGTGTGACCTGCTGTGGTCTGACCCAGACAAAGATGTGCAAGGTTGGGGTGAAAATGATCGTGGGGTCTCTTTCACTTTTGGTGCTGATGTGGTCAGTAAATTTCTGAATCGTCATGATCTGGATTTGATCTGTCGAGCTCACCAGGTATGAATTATGCCACTGTTGCTTCTTGAAACCTCTCCTAGACTTTCTGCCTCTTTGGTGCTGCTTATCAGTAGGATATACTTTGCATTGTGTTACTTTTAGAAGAAAAAGATCTTTGTAATAAAAGGACTAGAAGGCTGTCTTCTCCTATTGACTGACGTTGAATGAGCATCCAATGCCAAGGAAGTATGATACTAACACTATATTTCCCCATTGATAGCTTTATTTGTATTGTCTGTTTGCTGTTAAACTCTTGTATATGAACATTAGAGGTGAAGTGCCTAAGTTTAAAGTGCGAAGTGACTTGAATTTGAGATTTACACTGAAGTTTCGGAGATCTTCAATTTCAGCAGTAGTCAGTTCTCTGGTAGCTGTGCTTTAAACTGTCTTTGTGTCATGTCTTAAAAGCATTGAATGTTTCTACAAACAAATCTGTACATAAAAGCTTTCAGTGTTGCCCTCATTTTGGTTCAACTATCTAGAGTAATTTGACATAGATTGACTTGCTGAAATGTGCAGAAAACAAGGTTATTTGGCATAATCAATCTTTAAGTACACCTTTTTTTGGGCAGTTTTTATGAAGTTATTTGAGCAAGTGTCCTAGTTGGGACATCAGGTTTAATTTCCTGTATAACATTTCAGTTTCATTATTTAGTCAATTTTAAAAGTCCTCCCCAGCTGTGAAACAAAAATAGGCTTTTTATTCAGTGTCACTGTATAGGCTCGCGTATACTATCAGAACACTTATTTTTTGCAGTTTTACTGCTAAAACATTAGAAAATATTAGTGTTTAGAATGGATCTTAAGATTTTTTAAGCACTGATCAAGATTGCTACCGATTTCTTCGTATTTTTTTATAAAAGCAGCATCACATTTTCTGAAAGACCATGGCGACTGGACCAAAATGAGTAGTTGGTGCACTAGTTACGCTACATGATAACGTGAGGCTTCTATTCCTTAGCTGGTGCATCATACTACCTGCACTGTATTAAAGGTGAATTATGGTCTTAGAGAAAATATGGCAGAACCATTTTGCTTACAGAGCATCAAAATTACAAAAGAAGCCTACACTTGAAGTTTGTACAAACCAGTGTAAGTGAAACTTAATGATTATGGTGAAGATGATATTCAGACCTCTTGTGGTCCAGACTGTCAAATAGCCAAATACTTGTATAAGCTATGAAGTGCTGAGAATCTTTAAAGTGGCAGTGCATAATTGAGCTTCCAAGTCTGAAAATACTGAACAGTCAAGCTGATGCGTATTTAACATTGGAAGTGTCAGACAGATGAAGCTACCTGATTTGGCATTCAGTGTTGAAATAAGACAAAATGACTGATCATGTCTTATCTGAAGGCCAAAACATAAAACGCCTTTTTGATGAGTACCTGTCATCTCTTTAATATCTTAGTCCTGTTTGCCTTAAGACTGGCTTTTTTCTTCTTTTTTTTTTTTTTTTTTTTTTTTTTTAATGTGAGCTGTATTGATGTCTCTGGTATTGACAGGTGGTTGAAGATGGATACGAATTCTTTGCTAAACGGCAGTTGGTCACCCTATTCTCGGCTCCAAATTATTGTGGAGAGTTTGACAATGCAGGAGGCATGATGAGTGTGGATGAAACTCTGATGTGTTCCTTTCAGGTATGATCTGTTTGTACGTTAAGTATTAGTTTAGGCGTTGGACTATATGAACTGAGTTAGCCTGCTTGTCGATGTGCTTCTAGTTAGTCTAAGATAATATAATGTACTTGAGCTGCAGAAAGGACTGTGCATCAGGCTGGTGTTTATGGACAACTGGAATTGCAAACCAACTGTTGTCCAGAGAACTGTGTGGGATTTGTTGTTTTCCAAACGCCTGCATGTTAAGGTACTCCCTCTATTCAGCTGCTCTTTTCGGAGTTCAATGGAATGATTCTTTCTAGTCCTACCTAGCAGTCAGAATAATGGACTGTTGGGACCCTTTTAGTGTGGTTACTCTGATCAGATTTCAATTGGTACTTTCCTGGAGATGTTTCCAGCCCCTTTTCTTTCCCCTTCCCACCCCAACGTAGTGGTAGAACTAGAAAGATTTAGAAGTAGTAGTATTGTTGTATGTAGGAATAAGAAATTTGAAGGATCATCATATGATTTTTACTCTCCCACCCTCTCACCCCTGTTGTTGCTGCTGAATGAGATTTCATGTTGGCTTAATGATGTTTGAAATGTTCGTAGTTGCCACTGACCCAAAAGAACTTGTTTATTTTCTTTAAGATATTGAAACCATCTGAAAAGAAAGCCAAGTACCAGTATGGTGGACTGAATTCTGGGCGTCCAGTCACTCCACCTCGCACAGCTAATCCACCCAAGAAGAGGTGAAGAAAGGAATAATGTAGAAACACCATCAGATCTGTCAAGGACAAAACTCCATATTACAGTATATAATAAGTGTGCACTGTAAAACCATCCAGCCATTTGACACCCTTTATGATGTCACACGTTTAACTTAAAGAGACGGGTAAAGGATCTTTATTAATTTTTTCTAGTAGAAAGATGTGCAACACTGTATTGTAACAAGTATAGCTCCAACTTCTAATATCCAGCATAGAGTAAAAAAAAAAATATTAGGAAAAAACTATTGCAACTACATATTCACATTTACCACGGTTTTTAAAGTTGACCAACATCCCAGTTAAAACTTGATGTAATAGTTAAACCAGATGGGAGCATGATGTTCCATTTGTGTAATGTGGTCTTATTGTTGCTTGATTGCTTTTACTTTGGTTATTTTGTAGCTAGAATGATGCGAATATGGTATCTAGTCTTATTTCCCGGCTCTCTCTTTGAACTGAGGTAAGGAAGGGGCTTTTTAGAACGGCCATTGATCTCTTAACCTCCCCCTAGCCCCTTGTTGTTCATAATAATGCCACCCAAATGTGTGCTCCATTATAATGCAAAGTTTATAGTAGGGTAGTGATTAAAAGGCAAACTTAAGTCCAAAATGCCCAGACTGGACAGCTTGACAGCCAACATAAATTGAGACAGAAAAACTTGTCTTGACTTTTTAACTTAAATTGCCACACGATGAATTTGTGCACTACACTATTTTAAATTATTGACGTTACACTGTGCTATGGCACTTCATTTAACTTAGGACAGAAATGGTATTGCCTATTAGTTGGTAACTTGATTATGTGGTACCTTGGCTTTAGTTTTATTAGCATGAAACACCTTTGGCATGCTTAGCTTCCAGGTAACTCCCTACCTGCATCAAAATTCATCTTACGTAGTTCCACAGAACATGAAGATCCTTATTTGCCGAGCCTTTGAAAGCCGACATTCTTTTTCCTCAGAGGGTGTGCTTAAATGGATGTTCATCAACAGACGGTAGGCTAGTGGTGAGCTGAAAATGCTACAGGAATGTCCAACATATTTATAAGGCTTATGTCACTAAAGATTATACCCTTTGGATTTTCATGATCAAATTTCATATACTATTGTATAGACTTCTGCTTTGTAGTGTACTATAGTAGCAATAATTTCTGTACATGATCAAGAGTTATACAGTATTTCTTTTCAATTCTCACCTTTCTTAAAAAGAGTTAACATTGGCAAATGGCAAGATACAGAGAAGATACAAAATTTATAGTAGGATAAATGAAAGGCACAGATTTGTGATGCTTTAGGATGCAATACTTATTAGGTATAACTACAAAAGCTTTTATTGAATATTGTCAAATTTGTAAGATTCTTTGGGGGAAGGCTTTAGATTTATACCATTCTAAATGTGCATTAGTAGATGTAAAACTCTTGACTTCAGTATTGTCTTTGAAAATGTTAAATTGAGGATTCTGGTAACTTACATTTTATGAACTGGCACATTATATAATGCAAGAGATATATTGGTTTCTGACACAGTGAGCAAGTTCTTTAAAATGGATTTAAGTCTCTTTTCTAATTCCATTTTGTTTTAAATGCATATTTTAAATGTAGGTTTTTTCATTTAGTAAAAGTTGTCTAATTCATTTGAATGAAGTCTGACTGGTTATTTTAGTGTACCTTACTGTTACTCCAGAAGTGTGGAGTTTGTTTTAAAAGCAAACAAACAAACCCCAAAAAAACTTAGAGGGTACATATCTGTTAGTGATTTAGATTGGATTGGTCTGTGATTTTGAACAAGTTAATTTACCCCACCTTGAAGCAAGCGCCAGACTTTAAATACACAGATTAAAATGTAGATTTCTTCTGATACTGTTCAAAGACACTTGTTCTTCAAAGTCGGTGATGAGAGCTGTGTAAGTAAGAGTAACCTCAGATTGTGACAAGGTAAACGATGAAATGTTTTCTGTAAGCCTTGCCAGGCTGAATTCCTGCTCAAAGTCATTGCTTACTTGAGATCTAGTTTTACAAGTTTTGAAAATGATGGATTTTATCAAGTGCCAGCCTCTATTACAAGAAGCAACATGTCACCAAACATCTGGATTAAAGCTTTTCCATTTTTTCCTTAGCTTCTGGAAAAATGTCTTCTGTATCATGAAATGTCCAGGTGTAAAGCTGTTTGTTCTGTGAGTACTTAACATGTTCGCTTGTATTACAGATGCTATGTCAAAAGGAAAATAAAGTCTTCAGGCCTTCTTATGTGTCCTAAAGAAATAGGAAATTCTTAATTTATGGCACTAGAAAGCCAGTTCTGGTGGTGGTATTCTGAAGAATTGCTGTTTTTATATAGCCGTAATCATTTGCAAAAAATTTTGAGTGCTACTTTGACTTCTGGGGAGTTGGGATGTCTGTTAACCATGCCCATTGTCCTATACTGTGGAGAAAGTATGTGTTAGTAACCTCACCCCTGCAAATATGGTTCATATTCCATACCAAAAACAATCAGGAGCATCAGGTACATAATGGAACTCACCATACCACTTTAGCTTACATTTACAATATTAATACAGATCTTTAGTATTTTTGCTATTGTCCACTCTGGAAGAGGTGGAAAAGAAACTGAATCTAGTTGTATTTGGGTAAAATTAACTTTCTTCCATGGAAATTGCTAGGGATCTAATTGCTGAAAACGTTTTCCACGTAAACCTCTTGTCCATGCAAGCCTAAAATGCTGCTAAATAGCACAATGTCAGTGTGCTGGGAAGTAACAGAGATTCTCAAGTGAGCCTTTTAGAAGCCTATTAAAGCATTACACCATTTAAGGGATATTTTTTGCATGTTTTCCCTCCATGCCATTTTATCTGTCGGCAGTATCGTTCCTGATTTCATCGTAGTGTACAGCCTTTTTGGTTGGCAGGCATTTTGTGATTTCCAAGCACTAGAGAAATAATCTAAGCTAAAATATTGCTGCAAGGAGTGCTTCTCTGATCTCTTGTGTTGATTGATATGAGCTTCTTGTGCTACATCAATTTTTGGGTTATGTTTCATAGTAGACAGTGTTTTCTCTGTGTGGAATATTCATAATTTCTGCTTTAAAGGAGGAGGAAAAATGATGTTTCATGTAGTTGTGATTATGGTGCTGCTCTAATACCTTCAGCACTACTTCTGCTAGAGTTGCTTGTCCTGATCTCTTTTCAAAAAATGCTGTAGAAATACTCACTGAAAACACTCTCATGGGTCTTATACCAGTGGATTGTATTCAGTTTACTACCACAAAGAAGTACTTGTGACCACCGAAGTGCAGGTCAGACACTTTGCTTTGAACGTGGTTTGGTTAACTGCAAGTGTTAACTGTTGCTGGTGTCACCAAGCTGCACAGTTCTATTATGAAGACAGTTTGCATTTGCCATGTCCTCTGAGAGAAGAGCCAATAGGTACGTATGACACGGCTGCTAGTATCACCATTCAGTGCACTGTTGTGTACTTACTTGCTTGAGGAAATGCTGGTGGAAATTATTCAGATCTGTGGAAGAAAGTTGCTTTTATTGTTAAGAGCCTACATGCCTCTTTTAAGGTTGGTTGAAGTTAAGAGATCCTTTGCAGTGTTTTGCCAAAAGTAGGAGTTGATGAGCAGCAAGGTATCTTTTATATGAGGAAGTGTGCCTGTCTGTGGCTTATCTTCTGATAAGTCCAAGAGGATATTCCCATCATGCCATGAAAGCAGGCAGATTAAATTACTGGAGCTTTATGTGGTTGGTTTTGGGTTGGCAAGCATAGTTTTTGCTCTGTGGTAATGGAAATACGAAAGATACTACTGCTTTCAAATATGGTTGAACTGAAGGTGACCTGAGAGTAACTCTGACTCGGATAGCTGAAATTTTCAGACTATGAGGATGACAAAGACAAATATCCCATGCTCGGCCTTTCCTGTAGAGCTCAAAGGTTAGCAGAAAAGGATACCTACTTTGTAGAGGCTTATGTAGATAATAGTTGTAAAAACCTGCCATTTAACTGGGTGTTGAATTTCTTGGCAAACTGTCAGTGTTGTATCTATGGCTGGAGTTTCTAGAACTTTCCTTGCTGCAGGTTTGTTGGTGATGAAGACATTTTATACAAACGTGACAGGTAACATTACAGCTTAGCAAAGAGTGGAGGCAAAGTGATACTGTCAATATTGTATTGCTTTTGAACTTGTTGGATGCCAGTCGTGAATCAAGTTACGTCTGCTTTGTAATGTACATCAGGCTAAATGTGAATATTTGGTTTGAAGTTAACTGGTGAAAAAGCAAGGGTGAGAGAATGTCCTTATGCTGGAGCAGAGATGACTACAGCACAGTCAAATGTTTCTTGTCTCTGGGTCCACATGGAGTGCTAATATGCTTTAAAGAGCAGTATGTGGGTTTTTTAATAGAGGACACAGTCACGATGAAGTTCATGCACATAGTCACTCTTGACAATAAAAAGAAAACAGTACCAGGCTTGGGGTATTTAGGCGTAGCTCTGAATATTTTTAATCTGCTGTCATCTGTTTGCTTCTGCTAATTAGCTGTAGCAGCTTTCAAACTCAGTCTCGGTACAGCTGTATTCTTTTTTCTCACGGATACTGCATTGATGTTGCTTGCTCTGTTCCAAAGGCTGATCAAGATTTTAATGACGGCATCTAACCTCATGGGTTCTTGCTGCATGTATCAGATGATCAAAGCTGAAGGAGACCTCAGGCCATGTGGGACTGAACACTGGAAGACCATGTGACACTAACTCAGTGTTAGCACAGGAAAGAAGTTACCAAGATACAAGACACAAATTTGGGTACTTTGTATTGTTACAGGCCTGCCAGGCTCTTGTTCTCCATGGATTTTTGGAACTGGTACTGCCTGAGCATCTTCCTTACAGATGCCTCAAGTTGTTGGGAAACCAGCAAAGCTCTCTGGTTGCTTGTGTTCTGTCTTAGTGTGCCTTGTTAAAAAATAAATGCTAATGATCTCAACATGGTAACTGGCAATAAGGACAAAATTTCACTCTGTTTCCCAGTGTCCTGTTTGAACATATGTTAAGCTCTGTGCCTGTATGTCCCAGGAAATTAGAATTTAAAAACATAAATCAAAATACTTCTTTGCCACAAGCAAATACATGACTATAGTAATTTTTTCCAAGGAAAACTTTTATTGCTGGCTATAGTAATTTTTTCCAAGGAAAACTTTTATTGCTGCCTGAAACAGTCTGAACAAGTGGAACTTTAAAGAGAGTACCTGCCCTGCATGTGGCCTAGCATATCTATTTTCCTGTCCTCTGCTGCCTTAGCAGAATCTACAGCCCGGGCTTTCTGTTGAGCCTTCTGTAGGCTTAGAAGACGATAACACAAAGCAAGTGCTAGCTAGATGCAGCTGCTAATAAACATCAGCAAAAGCCATTTTGAATCTTAAGGTGGAGATGTCAGCTTTATGTTCAAGATGAGGAAGGTACCCAGGCAGAGTTCTAGAAACGAGCATCGCTTGAAAAATCTGTTTGAAGTAGGATAGACATGCTCAGATGTTAAGCTTCAGTGTTTTAACTTAACCAGAGTTACTGTTAATTAGAGGAAGTGAAGCAAATAGACAGGATTACAGTTTTTTCTACTCTTACAGATAGCTGATGTTAAAAAATAGTAAATTATATTTGCAGAGAGCAAAACTGATCTACCCATTGGTTCTGCTTGCTCATGTTGCTTTAAAGGTTTGAGTCTTCAGGGTGCAAGAGAGAATACTGTGCTTGGGTCAAATTAATTATTGAAAAGGCTTAGCCAGAAAAAAACCACTGGTACCTTGTGGACAAACTGGTGTAGTTGATGACCTGAAGCAGAAGCGCACACATCGATGAACACACAGGACAACCTTGGCAAGTAAATATATTTCAATATAATATTTTCCTCCGTCATGTTGAAGTTCCAACAACATACCATAATGTGAAAATGGTTTGAATTATTTCACATTGTTCCCTCTGGCTCCTTCCTAGCAGCGTTTCTACAGTTTCTCGTGTAAGTCCCTAATTGTCTTCTCAAATTTCTGGGCATGTATAAATTAGTAATTTTCCGTTAGCTGCCCTAGAATATTTTATGTTTAGCTTTCAGGTTGCTATTCCTGAATAGCATCTTGGACAAAGACCGTGTATTGTTTCTGTGGGATGCTGGGAGAGGGAACATGTTAGGAGAATGACGTTTTAATGGACATTTTAACTGCACTTCAATTGCATCTAGTTTCCAGGAGGCTGGGTGAAGAGGATGAGCTATAAGAGTTAAGGCTCCGCTCTGTTGAAGCAGTGATGGAGAACAAACACCTTATTTCTTTCCTACAATGAACAACGGACATGTTGGTTTTAGAGGCTATTGCTTCACCTTTACCGCCTAAAGTAGGAAGATGTGTTCTTTTCCTTGGTCTGTCTTGTTTATACTAATGCTACACAAGAATTTAACACAGTTACTTAATGAAAAAGATCCAGTCCAGTTGACATCATTTTTTTCATGTTAGGATTGGTTTTGCATGCAGATGACACCTAGTGGTTAAAGGACAGTGAATGAAAAGCTCTTGCTGGCATTTTATTGCAAGTTTATTCTGCGCTTGTCTCTTATGGAAACTGTCCCTTGATCAGTACTGAAATATATCCATAGTGCATGACT